CAGAGATTCTTCAGCAACCTCCTAAGTTTACCCCGTAGATACCGAGGCAGAAGCAAAAAGGGCCTCTCCAGGGGCTGTTTTGGTGTCAAGCTGGACAGAATTGGGTCACTGAGTGGACTGGGATGCTAACTGCTTACTGTGGTAAGAGAAAGCCAGAGGCAGGTGGTCTGTGTGTTCATGTATAACTTGCACAAATATGCAGAAGAGCAGATTTAATTCAGCTTTAAGGAAATGGTGCCTTAAAGTAACTTTTACCTTCCTATTGCAAATGCAGTTTATTGATTTTACCCTCTTCAGAATTCACCATCATCAGATGTATACCTAAAACCTGAGAATGCCAAGCTTTACCTGCTTTCCCTTCTTTCTTCGAGTCAGCTGTATGCATTTCATCTTGTCACAGAAGCCAGATCAGAGAGGTTTCCACCAGCTCCCCAGGGATGCTTGTGTCAATCCAAAGAAATTCTGAGCAGAACAGGGGAGCCAAACCTGGCCCTAGAACAGTAAGAAGTCAGTTAATTTCCACGTGTGAAATCCTGTCCACTTCTTTCTTTTACTTATTTCTCTGCTTTCTTGACAGGACTGGCTTTGAGCTTTCAAAGGACCTGTTGCCTTTCAGTGGGATATTCAGCCCTTATTCATATTGGCTCCACCAATCCATCTGCTACATGATGTACTGAGCAAATTGCACCTCACTTCTCCCCGAATTACTTGGCCAATAGAATACACTGTTGCTGTACTGCCTATATGTATCAGAGTAATCATTTGTGAACATCTATCTGAAATTTAATTACAAAAAACATTCGTACTGTTTGTGTACCAAATGTGTAAATAAAGATGTCTCATTATGTCACAGATAAGAAACTGTTTTCCATAATTTGGTGAATTTGCTTCCAGCCTGTGCTGTGATTCTTTCATGTATCACTCCTGAAACTGAAACAGTGCTCCAAGTTTGCAGTTAGACACAATCCACTAGAATTCAGGAGCATTTCAGAGGGCTGCTTTCTGCTAAAAAGGACTTTTTACAAAAAAAAAAAAAGACACACAATCAAACAAGCCCTTCTTTTTACCGAAATAACCTTTCTGAAGTTAAGATATTATTATCTAAATGTAAGTATAACAGGAACAAGACTGATGTAGTCATCTTCACAAAAGAGTCATTAGAAACCAGGACAAAAAACCCCAGGTCTTTGAACACTGCCATTTGAACTAAAAGGGTAACTGTCTGAGCTGACATCAGTAGAAAGCTGTTACTTTGCACTTGGATCTGCTACTGACAGAGGAAAACAAATGGCTCTTACTGGTATATCTCATCTTGGCCAAAAAAACCAATATAAATGCTACCCTTCTTTGAAGAAAGTTCAAGAGCACCCCTACTCTTCCAAAGGCAGATTCAGATATTGCAAAGCATTTTTCCAACAAAAACATAAAGTCAAGATTATACCAAAAAAATGTATCTGACCATTCTATTTTCTAAGAAAACCAAGCATTGACTGAATCCAACTATGAACAAATTGGAGAACAGCTACTTGGCAAACATCCCGAGCCAAAGGAGTTCTGTATGAAGGCTGGTTTGCCAAGATCACAACTGTGCTACCCTGATGTTGATGGGAGCTCAACTCTGCAAGCAGCTCCATAGAAATCAGTAAGACTGCTCACACAAACGTCTACACTGCAGGTCGCAAATGAAGGCACAGCTGTTCACTTCCAGCCTTTTGCTTGGAGAGGACAGATGGGCTGTGCAGTTGCAACCCTCCCATTTTTTTGCTCCTGGAAGAAAATATTCCAGTAATAAGTGTATTCTTAACAGGACCCCTGGATGTAAACTGCAACATAGAGCACAAACATCTACGGAAAGCAAGTTCATCAGCAACCCTCTAGCTGCACATGCTCTAAATCTCTGGCAGTTCAGGTCTCATAAGAAAGCCTGCTTGTACAGAGCAGCTAGAGGTCTAGTTTCTGGGAAAATTCCCTGGAAGTGTGTTTTGTTAGGCCATATAGATAACACTCTCCCTTGCTGTAGCTTCCATCACATAAAGACTTCTACCCTATACAAACATGAGCAAAGAGATTTCTGACCCATTAATCTATCTTAACACACCTTCATACAGTCAGGAAAAGATTTTCCCTTCTTTTCCCACAAAACACCAAGAAGCAGCAGCCATGCTTACTTGTAGAAACCTTAGAGGAAGCATCCAGCTCTCTTAAATAGAGTTCCTCTTCAGGTATGCTAGCCCCAGGCTGGCCCAGGTGCAATCTATAGGGTGGAAAGATCAATTCACACAGCCCAAGGACATTATGGTGTCAAACAATGAAAAGCCGGTATCTTGTGGCAGTTGGTGGTAATGGGAAGGTTACAGCCACCTTCCTAATAATCCTTGGTCTGACAGCTTGCTCCTAGCAACCCTATGAGCAGGCACAGCCTTGTAGGCATAAAAGCTTCCTGATATTGAAATTTCTACACTGAAAATCCAATGAAGGGTAAGTGATACTGGAGTTTGTTTCCTGAATACCCTCAGCTTGTTTCCAAACTCAGCTACACTAACATAAACTGTGGGTCACTGAAATTCTTTGCAACCCAATTAACAGATGTCAGAGGGAGTTGAAGACTGAGCCGTGAGCACTTGTGAAGAGAATCGCACGGAAGATGAATAAGAAACAGATAAGAGCTCCAATTCCATAGAGGCTGAGCTGTTAATGTGCCATCCCATCACCTGGCATTTTGTGTGAACATTTTAAAAAGCCACTTCTCAGAAAGCAAGAACAATTTATTTCACATAAAAGGCTCCATAATTGGATCCCTAGGACTGAAGCCAGGTGTGTTTGTACTTTAGGTAATTTGCTGAGTTCTATTAGCATTTAAATAATCAAAGCTAACCTTTGAAGTTCGCATACCAGTCAGACGCGGGAAGCTCACCTCTAGCTGTGTCATCTTCATCTGCACTAAGCAGCAGTGTGTGAATTTACAGACTAGGATTACAGAAGTTGCTGAGGAGAAAAGCCTGCAATAAAATTACACCTACAGCGAAAGAAGCATACAGATATCTTTCTCAAATGTGTCTGCTTTTGGAGTACCTGTTTATAAGTGATGTTAAGCAGCATCTTAATCAAGACTTGGTCTCATCCAAGACTCAAGTCTGCCTAGATTATTATTGGAGGGCTAAGTGTATTTATTTCCCTTGGTCATCACACAGATTCTCTGCTTTATCCCTTTCCACTCCTGTCTGTATTTACAACGTACAAAATTGAGGATGATGCCATCCTTACCTTAGCCATCTCCCTTTATTCTGCATCAGCATAACACTCCCATCTCATGCAAGCTTCCTCCATTCACGTGTTGTACTTTCAAAACACACAATGTCTCTGCCAGATTCTTCATTGCTGTGATGCTTTAAACAAAACCACTTGCCAACTGTTAAAACTGCTGGGTGCAGAGATCATTGTCCCTCACCAGCTGATACTTCTAGTTTGCTTCCAATCTAAGATAAATTATGTCAGCTGCAGGTAGATTTGTGGAACAGAAGGACAAGAAAATGGAGGAAGATGTAAAAAGATAATGTACATTGGCTTTGCTGAGCTTTAGGGCAGTCTCTGAAATAAAGGCCCAAGCAGAAATCATTGCATATCAAGTGAAATCAGAGAGATTTATAAGTGTACTGGCTAAGCAAACCAGGAGAGCAGAAGGCAGAGACTTGGTGTAATTGCTGTAATATTACCCAGACAGTGACTGAAAGGACCCTGTCTGCTGCTTTACCCACTGGGTATCATGGGTTCTGCCTTTCATTCTGTAAAGATCTAACAGGGTCATCTTGATTTGCACCCCGGGACCAGGGGAAATTGTACTCATTTATAGTTGAAATTTGCCACTCATACAGGAGAGATGCTGGAAGTTTTACTGGAAGTTAATAAGAAACTGCTGTAAAGCTCTGAGGCAAAATAAGAGAAAGTTTCATACAAACAGGCTGCCTGTTACAGTCACCAAATTGGTAATTCAGACACTTTTATCTGGGGAGCCTAAATCCAAATATGTACAAAATCTCTTTCTTTGGGCAAGGCTCTTGGGCTTTCTGGAAAGAGCATTTGTTCCACAGGAATTTCTCACTCCAACCCAAGCTGTGGGGAACAGAACACAGCATCACTCATGGGAAAGATGGTGGGATATGAGGAGAGGATGGTGACTGATTCACTTCTGTAGCCAAGGCATGGCTGGAGAGCAAGTAATGTTTATAGCAAAGTGGCCAGCTATACCACTCCTTGAGACAGGCTTAGGCCACTAAAAGGTTAGTGCCTTTAAGCTATAGAGGGAAAGGTTTGCTAGCAATGCCAGAAGAAGGGAAGAACATGAACTTGCAAGGAAGAGAACTCTCTTAAACCCAAATCTCAAGATGTGGTCTATTCACATAGCACAAAAATACACAGACAAGAAAAAGCTGTTTGGACCAGCTGCAGACAGAGGAAAATTTCAGATTCCCCTCACTTGTCTCCCCCATAGAGGAGAAATGATCCATCCCTCATCCCCTTGGAGGGGAAATCAACCCCCTGCTTGGGCCAGCTTACAGCTCCTGTGTGTCTGCAGATGTGAGGCTGAGCAAACAGGCTGGAAGCACAAGGTCTTTTCACTGCATCAACTCCTAGCTAACAGTGATGGAGAGTGGAGGGGGAGGAAATCACTGGCAAAATGAGTGCTGCCAGGAGGGGAGGAGATGACTTGGGGCATTTCTCCCCCTCTGGAGGAGTTGCTGCACTCAGGGGATCCCCCTCTCCTGGAGGGTCACCTGTGGGGCCAGTTGTAACCAGTTCCTTTATTGAAGCTGGAGGACTGAGTGCAGCACTCCAGCTCCTGTGGGGATCTGGCAGGAGGCAGCTGAGCTCCCTCCGGGCAGAGAGTGGGGATATAAGAAGAGGTATCCATGGGCAAAGCAGCAACACAGTGCTGAGATAGGATAGGATAGGATAGGATAGGATAGGATAGGATAGGATAGGATAGGATAGGATAGGATAGGATGCAGGTCCCAGCTCTGTGCTACGGGGCCTCACTGCTGCTGCTCGTCCTGCCATGGGCAGAAGCGCAGCCAGCCGGCGGCGAGCACAGTGCGGAGCTGCAGTCCCTGCAGGTATTGGGGCCGGGGTGGGCTGGGGCTCTCAGAGCGGCCACCTGCACCCGTGCCACTGGGATATAGCAGCAGGAGCGGGGCTCCCTGTCCCCCCGCTGCAGCCGTCGCTTCTTCCCTCTCCTTCCCTCTCCAGGACCTCCTAGAAGCGCTGGGACAGCTCTGGGAGAAGGAAGGGAAACTGGGCCAGGAAGATGAGCTGGTGACCGAGGCTGAGGACGGCGGCTCCGACTGGGACCTCCCGGAAGCCAAGAACAGCCCGCCGGGTGTCCCACTCCCAGCGCCCAGCCCTCCCCAGCTGGCAGAGGGGCAGAGCCAGTGGAGGAGTCTCCTCTCCTCCTACAGACGGAGACATTTCTCCGGCTGCTTTGGGACGAGGATGGAGAGGATCGGCGCGCAGACGGGGCTCGGATGCAGC